GCCAAAAAGTAGGGCTTCAATTTTTTAACAGCCATGAAGAGTGCAAGACCAAATTTCTCCACTAGGGGATACCTCAACTCGGCATTTTTCAGTACGTGACTGACAAAGTAGACCGGGAGCTGACAGCCGTCTCTTTCAGCAAGGAGAACAGCGCTTAACGCATGATTAGAGACGGCCAGGTACATGTAGAGTACTTCTTTGGGCAAAGGGCTAACCAGCCTCGGCAAGGAATGCAAGTGAACTTTCAATTTCTGGAAGGCGGCCTCAGCATCCGGCCCCCATTCAAACCTTGCCTTTTTCTTAATTGCCTGGAAAAAGTATAGGCATTTGTCGCCTGATCGGCTTAGAAATCTTCCTAAGGCCGCCAAACAACCTGTTAACTTCTGAACCTCTCGGACGGTACGAGGCGACTGCATGTCAATGACCGCCTGCACCTTCTCAGGGTTCGCCTCTATTCCTCTCTGATTGATAAGGAATCCGAGAAATTTCCCAGACTCAACTCCAAATACACATTTCTTGGGATTGAGCATGACATGGTGCCGCCTGAGTGTGGCGAAAGTTTCTCGGAGGTCCGACAGATGATCTTTCTGAAGTTTAGTCTTGACAATCATATCATCAATGTATGCCTCGACGTTTCTCCCAATCTGATCAAAGAACACAGTGTTTATCATTCGCTGGAAGGTAGCCGGGGCATTCTTAAGACCAAACGGCATGACCGTGTAACAGTATAACCCCTGATCAGTGACGAAGGCCGTCTTTTCCTGATCTTTCTTCCATAAAGGAATTTGATGGAAACCAGAATAGGCGTCCATAAAGCTCATCAAAGCATGGTCGGCTGTTGAGTCGACCAGGTTATCAATTTTAGGCAGAGGGTAACTGTCTTTGGGGCACGCCTTGTTTAAGTCTGTGTAGTCTACACACATTCGCCAGGTGACATTCGGCTTTTTAACAAGCACCACATTTGCAACCCAGTCTGGGAAGTAACATTGCCGAATGAACCCTGCATCAAGTAATTTTTTAACTTCGGCGGCTGCCGCCTGACTTCTTTCTTCGCCATGGTTCCGCTTCTTTTGCCGTACCGGCTTCTTTTTCGGATCCACGGCCAGTTTATGTACCGCCAGATCAGGACTAATGCCTAGCATTTCATGGACTTCGAATGCAAAGATGTCCTTGTATTCTTTCAATAGTTTGTGAAAGTCGTCACCAAGGTCTCTCAGAGCAGTCGTCCCAACTTTGACTGTTCGGTCAGGACGTGAGTCGTCTAAGATCAGGTCCGTATGCTCACCAGCCGGCTGAGGGCGGAACTCATCCGACCGCTCCTCTGCCAATGATTGCTATTTTTCTTTTCTTGCGGCCCCTGTCTGGGATGCCTTTCTCTTCTTGCCGCCTGCTTCTTGAACAGGTGTACTCTCCTTGACATTGTCAAGGTCTGCTTTTTCACCGCTTGACCCAGTGGCCATAACAGTGGGCTTGACATCCGAGAGATAGCACTCTCGGGCCATCCTCTGATCTCCCCTTAGGGAGACGACTGTTCCATTATCCCTCTCAAACTTGAGCAACATAAGAGATGGGATTATAACAGCCTTGGAATTATTCAGGGTTGGTCGACCCAGAATCATGTTGTAGGCCGAGAGTTCTTCTACTACCAGGAACCGGACTACCATGTGTCATCCTTCCCCTTTTTCGCCCAGGCGGATGGGTAAAACCACTCGTCCCAGTGGGTGGACGACTCCTCCTCCAAACCCTACTAAGGGGTGGGAGGCCGGATGTATGCAATCAGTCTGATATTTTAGTTTCGACAGACATTTGCTACTGATGAGATCTGAGGAGCTTCCGGTATCTATGAGGATTCGGCCAACTCTCTGGTTGGCCACTTTACATTCAATAACGATAGGGTCGTCATGCGGCCCTCTTACCCCTCCTAGATCTTCTTCAGTGATGACAATCTCAGGAAATGAATATTTGGACGGTCGTTCTTGGTGAACGGAATTTACATCTAACCGCCTGATATTGTCTTTGTTGCCCCTAATAGTGGGGCCGCCTCCTGAGAAGCCGCCTGCAATGGTGTAGACGACTGCATTATCTGTATCGGAGCTGTCGGCCTGTTGATTCTTTTTGGCCGACTGCTTTTTTGAGGAAGTGTTCCCCGTAGATTTCTTGACATAAGTGTCAAGATCACCTTGCTCAGCCAGGCGGTCCAGATACCGCATGAGACTGATGCAGTCATTGGTGTGATGACCAACATCATCATGATAAGCACAAAATTTATCTTGGTTCCGGTTGTTTGCAAAACCCTTCATGGGGACCGGCTTCTCAATTGAGATCCGTCCCTTGATTTCTTTTAGGATAAACTGGTTATCCTTGTTAAACGCATACTTTGGGGAGTATGGTTTGAATTCTTTTTTCTTTTTCTGGGCCGGATGTTTAGAGGAATCAGCCGCCCAGACCTCTTTTCTCTTCTCATCTTTGTTTGACGACTGTTTCTGTCGTCCTTCTCTTTTGTCGAACCTTTTCCCGTCCGACTGTTTTACCGTACAAAGATCAGTCGCCTGTATATAGGCTTCTGCTTCAATCAAGGCCTCTTGAAGAGTCGCCACCCTCTTTCGAACCAAATCAAATTTGAAGGTAGACCCGTCTTTGAGACCCCTGAAAAAGTCCGTATAGGCTACCTCATCCGGTAACCCTTGAATCTGTATTCTCATCAGGTTAAACCGCCTGATGTAAGAACGAAGCCCCTCCTTCTCGCCCTGCTGAATTGTTCCTAAATCAAGGGTCGTTTTCTTCGCAGGGATGTTCATGGCGAAGTTGGAGGTGAATAAGTAAGCAAGCGTCCTGAAGCTATTTACACAACCAGTCGGCAGGTTGCCGAACCATTGTTGTGCGATTCCTTTGACAGTCGCTGGGAAACACTTGCACCAAGTGGGATCATCCAACCCTTGAAGGTACATCAGGTTGGTGAATGCCATCAGATGGTCTTCTGGGTTAGTGGTGCCGTCATAGGCGCCTACTAATACATTTTTCACTTTGGCCGGCTGAGCGGCTTCAGTAATTTCCTTGGAGAAGGCCGACGGCTGTTCACCAAGTCTAAGCAACCGTAGCTGCCAGTCCATAGGTTGGACGTTTTTTGCTGCAGGTCCACCAAACGAAGGTGGCTGCAAAAAATACTGTTGTTGCGGCACAAATGGTAAGTTTGGTACCGCCTGGTCGCTATGAAAGCCGGACTGACGGGAGGTGCCGCCTGACTGACTCTCATGATACGACTGAGTATGCCTCATCGAGGCATTTCGCAGACTGTCTTGAAAGTTTGAAGTAGAGGCCGACTCTGACAATCGGTCACTCTTCTTCTTCTCTAGCAGTAGCCGAGCGTCTGTGAATGTTTGCTTCGACCCGTCCGCCTGAATATGACGAACAGGTTTCCTATTTCCTGTAGGAAAACAGAATTTTGTGAAATCAAGGGCAGGTGGCTCCCGCTTCCTAGATTTAGGATGAGGAGTCGCCTCTCGCCCTTGAACTGGCTTCCTCTTCAGTGAAGTGGAGGGTTTCTTAGCCGACTGCTCCTTGACTGGAGCAGGCGGCTTCTTGTTGATCAACTCTTGAATCTCTCCCTTGAATGTCCTCATGAAGGTCATGAGTTCGTTCCTTGTGATGGGAGCAGACCCATCAGTCGGCTGTTGCCGAACAGGCGGTGCGCCTGCTGGCTCACTTCCAGTTTGAAGATGTTCCCGTTCCCTCCTTTCGGTATGACGGGTACGTCGGGCCCTTAGGGTCCCGTCTGAAGCTGTGTGAGCTTCAACTTCAAATTCACTCTCGGTATCATGGTCCGACTGAACTTGAGGGTCGTCTAGGGGACGCCTCTCTTCAGGAGTCGGTACAGACTTGGATGCCATCTCAGAAGTACTCTCCCCACAGACGGCGCCAAATGTTTCGGGGTTTTCTGATGTCCTGCGGGAGAGTTACAATTCCGAGACTGGAACCGGACGCCTGTACCTGCAAAATAACGGAGACTCCTGGGAGCTCCGCCTCCAACGGTCAAGTTAGTACTTGATTAAGGAGTAATTAATGCGGAAATTAAAGTGATTGAGTCTCTCTAGGTGAGAGTGATTAATGTAGGTAATCTGCTTTGTTAGCGAGATCAGTCGGTTATTACTGTGTGTAATTAATGTGTTTTTTCGTAATCCCCCTTAATGAGGATTAAGGGAGGTATTTATAACCTTGGGAAACGTGCCAATCCTAGGTTTAGGTTAACCTAGGACTGATTGGGGTTCCCTCGGAAGTTGGGCCTGGGTGGCCGGTTTCTCCATTAGGCATGGAGTATGCCACATGTCATGACATAATAGGTCCAAGGTGGACGAATAAGCGCGTGCCACGTGGCAAGCCCTGACAGTTCCAACTGGGGGACACTTGGCAGGACCTGATTGGCCCACGTGGCGCATTCCGATTGGTGGGAGCAAAATCCCCTAATCAGTTACCAACTTTAATACTTCAATTTTGGTCCATGTTTTATTATTTAATCTTCTATTAATTAATTTTCATTTTTTAATATGCTTTTAAACCAAGTCTAAAATGCAAATTTAAAATATTGGACGAAAAAATAATTAATATTCGAGTTTTAATCAAGTAGCTAACCCATTTTCTCAATCTAATTTTTCTAATTGCTTCGAATTGTATTATATCAATTCATTATCTATCTCATAATTTTTTTAGAATTTATGGACTAACATATACACAATAATTAATGTATGGAAAGTAAAAAAAATTGACCATTGGTTTTCTTGTCATAAACATGTAACCACTTGTTAGGCCATTATTATTCACCCCATCTAAAATAGGAAATGTCATACAAAAATGAAATATTGAACCTACAATTAAACTATCTAGACCCTATTATCATGGCAACAACTTTTCTAATCCTCAAAGTCCTTTAATACATTGTGCAACATATTGAATTTAAATAATCCATTTAATTTGCCTCTTTATTTTGTACATGTTAAAACAAAGTCATGTCTTTCAAACACCATCAACTTCACATAATTTTCTTACCCTATATGGCACCAGGCCATATGATGCCAATGGTTGACATAGCTAGAGCCTTTGCAACCCATGGCAACACCAAAGCCACCATAATCACCACCCCGGCGAACGCCTCCCGTTTCAACGACACCATCATTAGAGACACCGATAACTCAGGCCACCAAATCACATTCCTTACAATCTCTCTACCATTAAAGGAAGTAGGCCTCCCTGAAGGGTGTGACAACCTTGTATCGACTTCGACACGTGAGACTACGTTCAAGCTCTTTCGAGCCATCGAAATGTTGCAACCTATGCTTGAGACAATGTTGGTTGATAACAAACCAGATTGTATTGTGTCTGATTATCTTTACCCTTGGACCGTTGATGTAGCAAAGAGGCTAGGAATTCCAAGGTTGGCATTTAGTGGTGGTTGTTTTTTTAATTGTTGTGTTAGTTACAATCTAGAACAATTTCGACCCCATGACCGTGTCGAATTCGAGCGCCAACCCTTTGCTGTTCCGAATTTGCCCGATGAAGTAACACTAACAAGATCACAACTTCAAGATCTTGTTAAGGGAAACACTGATTTTAATGAATTGTTTGAAAGACTTAGAAAAGCTGAAAAAAACAGTTTTGGTGTACTAATGAATAGTTTTTATGGTTTAGAGTCTGCTTACGTAGATTATTTTAGAAATGAGATGGGAATCAAGTCATGGCACATTGGTCCGTTGTTTCTCTTCAACAAGCCTACGTTAGATGATAAAGTCGGACGAGGCGACAAGAGTTCGATTGATGCACATAAATGCTTACAATGGCTTGATTCAAAGAAGCCTAACTCTGTTCTTTACATTTGTTTTGGAAGTTTAAGCCGGTTTACGAAATCTCAGCTCATAGAAATGGCTAGTGCTCTTAATGATTCAGGGTGCTCTTTTATTTGGGTATTAGGGAAAGTCATGAAATCTAATGAAAATAATAATAATAATGACCAAATTAGGCAAGATGATGATCAAGAAGAAATTGAAGAAGAGCAACAACATTGGTTGCCTAATTGGTTTGAAGAGACCGTGTTAGAAAATAAAGATAAGGGCCTTGTTATAAAAGGGTGGGCCCCACAATTACTAATCCTCGAGCATCCAGCAATAGGAGGGTTTTTAACACATTGTGGATGGAACTCGATACTAGAAGGGGTGTGCGCGGGTGTACCATTGATCACATGGCCATTGTTCGCCGATCAATTCTACAACGAAAAACTTGTAACACAAGTCCTTAAAATCGGGGTTGAAGTAGGAAACATGGTGTGGAAAACGTGGGCAACAGATGAAACAGAGTTGGTTGAAAAGGAGAAGATTAAGATAGCCATAGAAAGAGTAATGGGAGTAGGAGAAGAAGCAAAAGAAATTAGAAGAAAGGTAAAGGAGTTTAGTGAGTTAGCTTACAAAGCTATAGATGAAGGGGGCTCCTCATTTAATGATGTTAATGAATTACTTAAGGAAATTAGCATGCACAAACAATATTATATGGTGAAAGAATAGAGTTTATATATAGCCACAAACTTTACTATAGCTATAGCTCTAAAAGTTTTAGTTTTTTTGTCAAACAAAATAATAAATAATTTAGTTTTTAGAAATATGAAGATCTACCACCTTGATTTAAATGTATTAATAGCTTAGTTTGTCTATCGATTGTTGTATGATGAGTACAGTTGATATGATAGGAAGTATTTGTAATTTTCTTTTGAACGACTCAATCTGAACTTATTAATACCCTAAAAATTTAATAGAGTGTAACATTGTACTTTGGTGAAAAACCGTTATGTTTATTGTTGAGCATAATTCATTTTTAGCCATGGCTAAAATTGAGGTATAAGATAGCCGGCCATGGATATGTTTCTTTTTCTTAGTTTTTATCTTATTAAAAGGTAGAGTACTTGTTTATTGTACGGAGTATGAGATTTGTATGTAATGTCGCACATAAAATAAATTTAAATGTTTTTTTTTTTCCTTTTCTGAACGGAAGATAAAACATGGAGTACATTTTATTACAATTAATAAAATTTTCTCAAAGCAAAGACTCTTTGTGAAAAGAGTTACACAATACAAATACAAATGTACTTGGAAGTTGAAACTAGCTAGTAAAGTTCCATTTTGTATTTATTGAAGAATGATGCAAAAAAAGTTTTTGGTAAGAAGAAAGGCATAAAGGAGGGAGAATGCATGAATTTAGAAAATATGTGGGGTTATGAAAACAAGAATTACGCCCAAAAGACACTAGTAGTTCTCAACTTTAATGTATGGGCAATAATTTTGATTGATCCATGAATATTTATAAGAGATTATCAAATTTCAATGACTACCTTAATTGGGCAATCAAATTTATCCGTGAATGGTAATGCTACTCATCAAGGATCTAGCTAGGCTTACACATTGGTTAGTGCCTTAGTGGTTGTTCCCACTTGCCGATCACTAAATATAGATTTATTATAAAAATTATTTAAGAAAAAAAAAACTAAATCATAATATTCACTTGTCATACCTCTTTTCTCCTTGAACACATTTACTCTATACTTATTATTTTTCAGGTAATAAAAAATTCATTGAAATCAATATCTCAAATCTCAATACAATACGATTAATACGACACATTAATACATCTCTTTATCATACGGAGTATTGTATCACATTAATGACGTACATCCAAAGTACATACGTAGTACTTAGAAAATGAACACGACGTAGCACATTTATGATGATAATTGATAAAGACATGTCAATTACATTACTTCAATCAAGGCCCAAAGGACCATCATAGAAAAAAAAAAAAGGCTCCAAGGCCCTAAAAAAACCTAGAATAAACAAACACATCATTTTATTTTGGTCCAAATCCACAATCAACAAAAGAAGATGAGAGGAAATGAGACATAAAATTATTAGAATGTGAGAATGAAGACTTTTAATTTTAGAACACAAATAAAGTCATACTCGTATTTGCTAGAAAATTGACCAATACTAAATTAGTCTATTCAATTGTAATTTCAGGGAAGACTAATTTGATCGGCGGCTAATTCACATCTACCCAGAAATTCTTTGGAAATTTATTCCCTTTTCTTCAAATTAAACCCCATTGACGCTTTTGTCAACTTTACGCCTAACTTCTTGACACATAAAAAAACCCCCCCATTTTCAGTTTCTTCTACTATTAATCACTGTTAATTTAGCTCATTAACACCCATTTTCAAGTATTTTGAGCTGTTATTTTTTCAAAATTTTTGGGGTTGAAATAACCCAAATGATGAAGAATCGAGGTAGTGGTAAAATCTCTACAAAATGGATTCCATTTTTTTGCATCTCTTTCTTCTTCATGGGAATGCTCTTTACTAACAGGTCTGATTTCTGCACTTTTTCTTTTCTGGGTGTTTGTATTTAATTTGATTTGATCTTGTAAAAGTTATTAGCTTTTGCTAAATTTGAGTTGTGTTAGCTGATAAGATGCGAATTTGATTCAAATTTTTTGATAAATAAAGGTTGTGGGAACCACCAGAATCTGATAATAAGCTGATTTCAAGCCATCAGCGGAATGAAGAGCTCAAAGTGATTTGTGAAGATTGTGGGACGAAAAAGGTATGAAAATTTTCAGATTTTATTCCCACTCTTTTAAATTTTTGGGGAAAAAGAAATTCAGCTTTGGAAATGGAAATATGGGGGAAAAAATGAACTTTTGATTTGATGCAGAAACCTAGAGAAGATAAAGATGTAATGGATGAAGTACAAAAAACCCATGATTCAATCAAGTGAGTATACTTATATGGTTTTTTTATTAAGCTAATTGCCTAATTCTGGTTAGTTTTGAATAGATTTTAACAAGCTTTGCAATTGTGTTGATAATTGGGAGAATGCTTAGGTCTTTGGACAAGTCAATTTCAATGCTTCAAATGGAATTAGCTGCTTCAAGAAGCTCTAATGAGCTAATTCACCCTAGAGAGTCTGTAGGGGTCACAACTCAAAATGGGAAACCTAAGAAAAAGGCTTTTGTTGTAATTGGAGTTAATACTGCTTTTAGTAGTAGAAGGCGCCGTGATTCGGTGAGGGAGACTTGGATGCCTCAAGGTATTGGGTTTATTTCGTTGCTGTGTTTGCATTGAACTTAATTGTGTATTTGTGTGCATTGTACTCACCACGGTTGTTTTGTCTTCAGGAGAAAAACTGCGAAAGTTAGAAAAAGATAAAGGGATTGTGATACGATTTATGATTGGTCACAGGTTTGTTGATTATTGCTTCATAATGATTCCTTATTCCTTCATCTCGTGCTCAATATATTTAATTTGAAAGGATTTTGCTCATTTACTGAAAAATGACATTTATTGTTGAAAATGAGGATATCTATTATTTTTTGGTTTCATGTGATTTTTGCATTTAAAGATTGGGGAGTTATTATGTATTTATGTGGGCGTGGTCCATTTGGAGCCTCATCTTATGTGTAGTGTGTGTACTTTGTAATCTGAAGTCTACTATGTATGAGTTTGTAAATGCTCGATGTACAAATAGAATGGATACCTGTCTACACATTTACAAAAGATAACAGATTGTCTTATGCATGTAAACTGGCCACCAACTCTATAATATTGCCATTGTTTGAATCTCTTATTTTGTCCAAAGTTCCTGTTGATCATTGGAGATCACGAAGTCAAGCTTTTACTAAATTCACTACAAGTTTATACGGAGTAATGTGACAAAAATTGCCATTTTTCTATGCCTCTATTCTGATCTCAATTAGGGTTGTTTCTTTTGTTTTGGTGGGGCGGGGGTGAGTTTCAGATGTATGTTACCTTCATCATATATTTACACTGATGCTCTATTAGCCTTACCCCTATAATTGCAAAGAGGTCACTTCAAGTCTACTGATTTATTATTGTGTAATGCTCTGAATTCTGGTGATATGTGTTTCAAAATGATTTAATGTAAATTGCTTGGTGTAGTTTGATTGCAATCAGAATATAAGTTTGTATGCAATAACAAGGGACTAAGGGTGACAAAGATTCATTTAAAATTTAGAATCTTTGGCATTCAGGGGAGTTGTACATTTAAACATCTGAGTACCTAAAGGGTTGAAACTTGAAAAGCCTACAAATACAAGTATGTTTGACATACACACTTAATATATAGAAACATTTATGCAACTGGTACGGAGCTTGTTGCAACTTGTGATTTGCCTGGTTTAGAAAATTTAACTAGGATTTTATCCCCTGCAGTGGTCCAGAAAAGGACATGGACTACGGTGGTGAACTCATCTATATTCTAACGATGCAGAAATATTTTCATATGAATGTTAGAAGATAATTTTGTCTTGATTGTGAAATGTGCACTGACTGAAATATGCATTTTTGAAATAGTGCTACATCAAACAGCATATTAGATCGAGCTATTGATTCAGAGGAGGCTCAACATAATGACTTTCTTAGGCTGGTAACATCGTTATCCCCAACTTTAATATGACTGTACTGTTTAACTTTGTGGTCATTGTGAGAATCTTATCCCAAAACAATTTCAGGAGCATATTGAAGGATATCATGAACTGTCTGCAAAAACAAAGATATTCTTTACCACAGCAGTTGCGAAGTGGGATGCTGATTTTTATGTCAAGGTGGATGACGATGTCCACTTAAATTTAGGTACATATATAAAACTATCCTACTGAGTCTTACTCATTTCAGGCCATTTCTGATGTTCTGCTTCTGGCACATGTTGTCCTTCACCGCCATGACTTCCACTTTCTCTGCCTGTTTTTCTCTTAATTATTTTGTTTAAAATTGCATTGCAGGAGTTTTTGCATCAACTCTTGCTCATTATCGATCAAAACCAAGAGTGTATATTGGTTGTATGAAATCTGGTCCCGTTCTCGCTGAAAAGTAAGACTCCAGGACCTCAGTATATTGGTCATCTATTTGTTATTATTTGTTGTTTGGGAGTACTCGACTACTCGTGCCATGATTTTTGATGCCCCACTTGTACATTTACTTTGTTTCATAGGAATGTTAAATACCATGAGCCAGAATTCTGGAAATTCGGGGAAGAAGGAAACAAGTATTTTCGCCATGCAACTGGACAGATCTATGCCATCTCCAAGGATTTGGCAACATATATTTCAATTAATCAGTGAGTTATATTCTTCTTTTATCCTGATGTGTTTCTTATATATTGAATGCATTTTTTAACCTCCTTTTGCTTCTCATCTCATTTGAGTTGAATACATATTCACAATTTACGTGGGGCTATAGGATTTATTATTACATGAGTTATATGTTTGCTAAGCATTTTCCAAACTCGTTACACTGGTGCAGTAGTGAAATTTGACATTTGCAGCTATAATGTTGAATATTCTAGGGTATACCTATGACTCTATGAGGTCATGTGACACATTTTTCTTAGTAATGCTTTGCTCAATAATCTTCATTAAATGGTACTTTTATGTTGCAATAACAGGCCTATACTGCACAAATTTGCAAATGAAGATGTGTCCCTTGGTTCATGGTTTATTGGTCTTGATGTGGAACATATTGATGAGCGTAGCATGTGCTGTGGAACTCCTCCAGGTATTTTCATTGTTATTTTTTGTTGCAATCATAGGCTACATGGCAATGTGTTGGAACACAATAATAAGGATCAGACCTAAGTGAATTATGTATGCTTTGCTTGAAATATCTGAACTCTTGGCATGATCACTTGGAGACACTATCCAGTAATATTTGAATCTGATGATTGGATGGCAACATGAAGCTTCTATCTAAGAGTTCTAATGATTCAAACATTTTCTTGTCATATTCTCTATCACTTTGGTTGGACTCTGATCTGAAGTCCCAAATCAAGGCATCCAAATGAGATGGCTTTAGGACTGAAGCTGCAAAGCTTGAACTGCCAACAATTTCCTATCAAAGCCTGCCTGCTCACACTCCCTTTTTTATTTTTTTGGCTTTACAGACTGTGAATGGAAGGCGCAAGCAGGTAATGTCTGTGTAGCATCATTTGATTGGAGCTGCAGTGGAATTTGCCAATCAGTAGAGAAGATGAAATTTGTCCATGAAAAATGCGGTGAAGGAGATGAAGGGATTTGGGGTGTCTCATTGTAATGAAAACTACTACTTAATTTCAAGCAAGGGCCAAGATTACCATTCTGGAGTTTTGAGATATGGATAGAATAGTATGTGTTACCAGAGTGGCAGAGACGAGTTAGATTTGGGCATGAAGCTTGAACAAGGATTTGGCTCACCTTGTACAATGGATGGATAACAGATTTCTGGAAGACCTACACCTTGTCTATCTAGGGTGTTGAATGTGCACGGATATGTACAACACGTAATTGCTGACATGTAATTGTTTCCTCGAGTGTAAAACAGTTTTGGTTATCTGTATAGGCAGGGGTATTTAGGCATTGCTATATTTAGCATGTTGTTTCTCTTTTAAAACGCCCCATATAGGCAAACTACATGTCTGTTTACTTGATATTCTTAAGCTTATCCTGCGTTGTAATTGAATTTATTGATGATGAAATTTTCTAATCTAATGGTTTGGTAGTTTACTATGTCAGTCTTGCTTCACTATTGAAGAGAGTGAAATTTCTTACCGTACATCAACTACACTTCTTTATGAAATAGTGGTTGAGAATGTGATCTCTACCCTTCAAATCTATGGATCAAGCAATGGTATCCATTAAAGATTGCATTTCAAAATACTATTCATAACTCATTAGTAGTTAACTATAATAAGATTTTACATAATTATATTTGTTATTCATTACTTACAGTAGTCATAATAATAATACATAGTACCCGTATAAGATACCACATCAAAGGCCCCGTGCTTGCTCACTTTTACTGACCAGAATTCGGAATTTTGCCAAAATAACCCGACTCAAAAGGGTTACATGGAAATCTCAATCATGCAGTTATATCGCGAAATTATTAAATTAGATTAGACCAGACCAGACCAGACCAAAACAGACGAAGACGATTCACATCAGACCTTAAGAGGCGTGAAATTTGATGAAAGCGCAAAGCGAGCCCAGACTAATATGCGCTCATACAAGAAAGAAAGGAACAAACACAAAAAGTGGGAACTGACAACGGAAGAGAAGAAAACTGAAAACCCATACCAAAATCAATCAAAACCATCTTATGCATTGACTTCCCTCCCTTTTTCTCTTTCTCTATCAATTGCTTGAATTTGTTGATCAATATTCACAGCATTTGATCGATCAAAAGAGGGGTTTTAGCTTCAATGGATAATAGTGAAATGTTTAGCTCATCGACGGTGCAACACACTTGGCACGACTTTCTAGACCGGATGCGTCAACCTTCCGCTGCTGAATTTGTCAAAGCCATTAAAAGGTTTGATCTTTAATAATTTTTGTTGGGGATTGTTTCCCAGTTTCTTAAATTCACTGAATTTGTTGTTTAATATTCTGCAATTGCAATGTTTCAAGGGTTTTTAATCCCTAGAATTGAATCTTTTGTTACTAAAATTAACTGTTAGTTGTTATGAGATGTGTTTTTCTAGCTGCATTTGCTAACCCCTTTTATTGTTTAATCTTAGAAATTAAGAAATAAAACTGATTTGTGTGGATTTTCTGGGTTTTTCCTGCAATTAATTTATTGATGAGTGAACTTAATGACATATCAACACATGAACTGTCAGTTAATTTGATGAATTGAAATTTTCAAGTAATATGTAAACAGTTTTTTTTTATTATTAATTAGTTCAAATGTCTTGCTATAATTTTATCTGAAGTTGGTATTATGTGAAATTTTTAGGTAATTAGATGCTGTTAGATGATGTGATAGTGGAACATATTAGCTTCTTGAACACTCACTCTTGCAATTGTTTCCATTACCTGTCACTGTGAATCTCATGAAGTTGTGAGATATTGAGTATGTGTTTTCATGTAACGCATATTTGATTTTTCTTACTAGAAAGGCTTTTATGGTTATCAATCAGACAATCACTATTGAGCTTTTCATGGGAGTACTTTGTTGGCCTTTTGTATTTTGGTGCATAATTTAATGAAAATTCAAAGGGACCCTTGTATTCTGGATTTAGTTATAAAGCTACAAAAATCTACATCAGTTATCTACATCAAACAAGTGATAATTATAAAATACGACGACCTTATGATATCTAAAAAGGTTTTGAGTTTTCAGAATTGGTGGGTTTGGACCCCCTTTGAAGCATTTTGGTTTTGAGAATTTGACTAATTATACATTATCTTACTATCATTTCCAACTATCAACTAATATGATGTTCTTCCAGACTTGTTCTGTCATGCCTATATCACAGTATTGGTTGAGTTTGCATTTTGATTTGTTTCCTTGTTTGTAATTAGTTGTCTTTGAATGTTAAACTTTAAGTGGTGCATCTGCTTGTGGCAGTTTCATTGTCTCCTTCTCGAACAATTCTCCAGATCCAGAAAAGGATAGTGCTGCAGTACAGCAATTCTTTGCCAAAATGGAAGCTGCCTTCAGGGCTCATCCACTTTGGAGTGGTTGTTCAGAAGAGGAGCTTGAAAGTGCTGGTGAAGTGAGTTAACTTGCTTCTTTGCTGTATGCGCTCTTTTCTCCCCTACACACAATCTTGATTCAATGATGGATACATTACATTTGACCTGCCCAATATGCACTTGCAGGGACTGGAGAAATATGTCATGACAAAATTATTTCCTCGTGTTTTTGCTTCATTTCCTGACGATGTAAAGATTGATGAGCAGCTTACTGAAAAGATTGCTCTAGTTCAACAATTCATCCGGCCTGAAAATTTGGATATCAAGCCACCCTTTCAAAATGAGTCATCATGGCTGGTTAGTATGAAAAGTTGATTCTTCTTTTTTTTTTTTTTTTTTTTTAATATTATTGTATCTGTAACAGCTTGAACTGCATCTTTGGAATAGAATGACTTGTAGCTTTTACTAGTGAGTTAAATTTCAGCTCTCCTCATTTTGAGTTGCATCAGATTTGACTGTATCTCATTGCAGTTAAAATTAAATTCCTTCCATCTCACTCAAATAGTCCCCAACTAACGGCCACTCTTCCTATCTACAAAGCTAAATTATGAAATTCCCATATCTGACTAAATTTAGGGTTTTATGCGTCGCAAATTGAAAAAAAATGCTTGCTCTCCACGATTACATATCTTATCTAGAATAATTATGGTATTATTGAGCCAAATCCTTAAAAATAATCTATGACCAAAAATGTCCTATTAAAGTGAGACAACTAGAGAGGGATTATTATTCTTTTAGTTTTTGAGGTATATAAGCTACAGGTCATAAGTTTATGAATGAGGCATCTAAATACTTAGTTGTTGATATGGCAGAATGGATAATCACACATCCAACAAAGTACAGTCACAAAATCAGGAATAAGAAAAGTTTTGCTAGAATGGAAACATCACTCCGTCTAATGTTTACAAGCTTACTGCAAATTTGGACTTCTGTTTAAGTATGATACTCGTTAGATATAGTTGTCATTAACTCTTTCACTTTATGTGGACTATTTATAAAATACTCTCTTGAGTGTTTGCACTTTTGAAAAATATATATGCCAGTTTTCAGTTATTTGTAATTTCAAAAAAAATCTTGAGGTTTTTGTTTCCATATTACTTTTCCATTACTTTCTTGGGTTTTTTTTTTCGTCATTTGTGGTCATAGTATCAATTTCTTCATGAAATGCATATAAGTAGAACAGGAAATTATTGAAATCACTTAAAGTAAAGTTGCTAATTGCATAAGAATATCATGTAAAATGAATGAAATCTAAATCATATAGTATTATAGAACATAATATTTTTGCTTTGAAGCGGTACTTAAATGAATGCAGCTATCATCTTGAGACACAGAGAGTATTTCTCAAGCTTTATGCGCTATCTTTATGTTGACAGCTTGCACAAAAGGAGCTGCAAAAGATTAATATGTACAAGGCACCTAGGGAAAAGCTTGCCTGTATTCTTAACTGTTGCAAAGTCATAACTAATTTGTTGCACAATGCTGCTGTCACTGCAAATGAGGATACCCCTGGAGCTGACGAATTTCTTCCAGTTCTTATTTATGTCACTATAAAGGTCAGTACTGCATTATTGCAAGTAATATCTGCTTCTGCCTCCTTGCATGTGCTGGTGTGACTTTTGCATATCTAGTTTCTTTATTTGTATGTCAAAAAAAGAAAAACGACTTTTGACTCTACTGTACTTTCAATTGTGTTACATTCACTTGCAATGAAATCAGAAGTTCTTAATTTGGGGCGAAAACAAACTTTACCATCAATAGGTTGATTTTATAACAATGGAAAGGCAAAATCTCTACAAAACCATTCAATTTTGTGATTATTGTGTTTTCTTTACATCTATGCTTGAAGCATTCACCTAAAAATCTAGGGTGCTGCATCCTTATAACTTTTGTTGGTCCGATACAAACTTACGCAATCTTACATGGCATTGTTATGTAGGCAAATCCTCCCCAGCTGCATTTGAATTTGCAATATATACAGCGTTATAGGCGTGAGTCTCGATTAGTTTCAGAAACAGCTTACTACTTCACAAACATACTTTCAGCTGTGTCCTTCATCTCAAACATTGATGCGCAAGCTCTTTCAATGGATGAAAATGAATTTGAAAGGAATATGGACTCTGCTCAAGCACTTCTATCTGGGCTGACGACTGATTTTCAGACTACAACGAATACTGTTGACAATACTTCCAGCTCAAAACCCCCCATGGAAGAATTTCAGCAAACTTTTTCTTCTAATAGTGACTCCACAAAACAATCACAAACACCCTTGGATTCTTCTGCTTCAAAATCTAGCCACCTCGAGGATCCACCTAGTAAGGATCAATCACCAATGACAAAAAATATGTCCATCTCTGATCTTGAGGAAAAAGGTGCAACTATGATTTTGAAAGAGGATCGAAGTATTGACAATGTTTTTCAGGAGTTCCCATATGTATTTGCTAGTGTTGGGGATCTAACGTTGCGTGATGTTGAAGATTTACTTAGTAATTATAAACAACTTGTATTCAAGTATGTTTGCCTTGCCAAGGGAAAGGGCGTTGCACCATCACTGTCAACCTCTTCATTTTCACAAGCACTAGACCAGGGCCTTGTAGAAACTGGGGAAGGTTCTGAGCCCGGTAAAGAAATAGAAACAGGTCCTGGGAAAGAAATAGAAACTGATGAACATCAAGCTAGAAAACCTGATAGTGCTGATGAAAGCTCACACTCAGACATGGTAATTTCTGAATCCAAGTCACCACATGAGGATGCTGATGCTTCTCTGCAGGAAGAAGAAAGAAATGAAGATTTGGTTTCACCTAAAGAAGATTCAGAAGACAAGGAGCAACAGGAGGATTCTGCTGCACCACTAACCGAAGAACCACAAAATGATGTACAATGAGAATTCTTTGATATACTTGCAAAGTGTTGTCAGATGTACATTAAGAAGAGAATTCTTAATTTAAGACCATTTTCTCCTAAAACTATTTTGCCCGAATGGTAAGTTATCTCTCCTATGACTCTCTTTATTGTATTTTGTTAAGGTCTGAGAGACTGATAGTATGTAAGGTACCATGAAATTTGTAACTATACCTTAGGTTATGCCAGAAGCTAATTGTCCAAGACCTTTTTGAACTCCTAGCAACATAACTTTCATAACATTATACATATACAATAGCTTGTAAGCTCATACATGAATGAGTTGGTGCCCAAAGTGAAATTTAGATTCCGAAATCAACACAAATTTTTTTTTTTTTTTTTTAAATCTGCGTCGTGATTACAAGGTCACATCTTCATTTATAAGCACGTCTATAGGTAAAATCATTATTGGGTACATCGTGAGTATTATACACATATGTTTGCGTTCTATTTTGCACCAAAGATAACTACACTTTTTTCGTTTGATAGAGAGTAAAATTTTCAACCATATACAGTATTGTATCTAATTAAGGCAGCATAAGAACAAGTAAAGAAAGTCATACACTTTTCTCATCTCTCCTACACGAGAAAAGTGTATGAATGTGAGTAGGAGAAGACAATAAATTTAAAAATTGAATAATTGAAAAGAGATTCAATCATTTAAGCCTAAGATAAATTATCTTAAAAACAAATTGAATTCACAAACATTATAGATAACAATAATGTTAAGAGACAAAGAGAAAGAGAACAAATGATGTTCGATTGCATAAGCTGTCCATATTCAATCTACATGAGCTTTCCTTGTTCGTCTTCTAACAAGCTTTGTTTCATTCGTTTGTCGATTTACTTCATTATTCTTATTTTATTCTTTCAATTATCCTTTTTTTTGTTGGTGCCTTGGTGTACTATTGTAACAGAATACATCGCAATACTTCAATTTTTTTTTTTTAGCTTCATTACATATTTTTATGCTTAATTAGCATACGCGTGTCCCGTCATAGTCGACTAAGCAAACGCTAAACAATAGCTAGCTGTATGAATGTAATGAAAATCCAAATGTTTTGTTTGGGCCAATGATCTTAATTAACAGCTACGTACTGTGTGGTTTTAAATAAACAAAAAGTCGACTAATAAATTGTGTTAGAATTATGTTTTATTTTAGAGGTGATCATGAACCGGTCAAAGCTAGTGTATGTCAGACTTAACTTTGGGCCACGAGATATATAGGCAAATGGTCTACTGACCAAGCCTAATTGGTTTCTTGAAGTTTACAAGGATTGCATATACGTAGTATAAAATTTGCGAGTTCTTAGAAGGTCTAGACTTTAAACATACATTATTCATTTCCTTAAAAATAAAGGTTGTAGACTTGAAGTCATAAAATTAACTTTAGAAAAAGATAATTAAAAGGTAGTATGTAGGAGCATCATATGTTGATATACTCGAGACACATAATACATAACAATTGTTGATCATATAATATAATATTCAAACTCATGCAATTAATTGGTAGTATATTTAATTTACTATAATTTATACCTTATGGTTGTTATTTATTACAATTAACCCTACAAATATGCGTTATTAGAATGAAATGGTATAAATAAATCTAACCTAGTGTAGTAGGGGATGCCCTAGGGTGACAAAAGAGGCCGACAAACACAGCATTACTGTTTGATACTCAATACTTAACCATTGACAATATCTTAACAACTAATTATCACTTTATTTTGCATTTAATCACTCCATCTGTGTTTCTCAGGTGGAATCTAATGTGGTTGAATCATCCCATTATCTCTACATTCATTTTCTTTTCACTTTATTTTTTATTCAATTCATCATGCTAATGTATTTGAGTGTCACTTTTTTTAGAGTGTCCCTAATATAATGAGGTAGAAATCCACGCCTTATATTAAGGTTGAAAGTTACAATCTGATCCTTAACTCCTTAACACTACGAGCTATAAACTAAAACATAGCATGGTATAACAACAATTATAGTAGTATAAAAAAGATGGAAATAATAATCAACTTGGTATATATATAGATCTAGATTCTTCAAGCCAATAAATGTAAATAAGGTAGAAATTGGAGAACAACATGCATATAAATTACGTCAAAGTTTAAAACCCCAATAAATTAAACAACATGTAATTAGAGTAAGTGATGAGCAGTTGTACTAAATAGTTGGTCTTAGAAAAATGAAGCAATAATAAAAAAAAAAAAAAAGAAATAAAGAAGAAGAAAGGAGGAAAGAGGCATGTGAAGGTCGGGGAAGATGTGAACATATCTGAAATCAAAACATCAAAATAACAACGGCGTACTTTTGCATGTGCATTGTTCCACCAACCATGTATATGGCCTTTACATTTCGCAACCACTAAAACTTACTACAATACTATGCAACCAACTCTCTTTTTTCTTTTAATTTGTTTCCTACTTTTTTCTTCCAAACTCGTTTACTTTACATAATCTATAGTTTCCAATTTTATCAACGTAACATGAATTTCGTACGTAGCTACCTTAGTGAAATATTGATTACTTCCTCTGTTCTTTTTTACTAGACCTGTTTCTTTTATCACGCTTGTCAATGTACAAGTTTAACCATCAATAATTTTAATATCTATAAGTAAAAATTATAAAAGTTATATATTGTGATAGTACTTATTTAGACGATTTTAACAAGATCCTACGTGAATATGTTTTTCTTTACCTATAATTCACAAAAGACGGTCAAAGGTGGGTTGGTGAATAGTGTAAAAGTCAAAGCGGGTCAACTAAAAAAGAACGGAGGAAGTATATCTTAAAGAAACGACAATTCAATGATAATGTATGTGTTGAATTAAGACTCGTAAAGTCGTAATATTATGCTTGCTTATATACATTGATTCATGTATAGCACATACTGTAGAAGTATACACTATATATGTACAATATATGAGTTTGATTGTAGTAAATGTATTAAATTGTTATTCTATGAAAGCATTTAGTAATATTGTCTTAGTGTCTTACGATGATGTATAGACCACAATTCTATTACATATTGTCTCAAAATATTTGACTGGATTTCAAATATAGCAAGCTAAAAATTATAATGTTTCCATATTACAACTCATCATGCTGAGATCATGCATGCTTTGGTAGAGATTGTGATTAAGATATTAATTAATAAAAAGTACTCGTACATTGGTTAAATAAAAAATAGTGAAATAATTGCGTATAATAAGTCAATTTTTTGTTTTAAAAAAATAAATAGAATACGGTATGATTGAGACAGAATTAATAACGTTTAGATCGATTGATGCATCTAATATCATTACTCATGCATCGTTTTATTCATCACTAACAAAGTAACAAGCTATTATGGATTAATAACTATTTAACTACTAAGGGATTGGATGTACTCCTTAAATTACCTTTTTCCGTAATACAAAAGCTATATCCATCAAACTACACTGTAGGTACAAATTAAAGTAAGATTATATAAATTGACCCAAGTACTAATTCACAAAAGATAAGACAAAGTAATGGACTTGTTAAGAGAGACTTACTAATACTGATAATCATTATCCTAAATCAATCAATTGTTGTTGTTTAGATACAAACACATACTTTATGAAATTTGATTTGGTCCATATTATTGCTTATGAATCATTCAAGGCATAAATTAAACCCCTTATTTACTCTTGAACATTTTCATGACTTCCATCATTTTCAGAAAACTCAGTCACTAACACTAAACATATATATTCACCAAAAACAAGAAATAAATTTGAAATAAACGTGTAATTTGCTCCATACAGTCAACAATCAAGGCAAATATATATATCATTATCGTAGACTAACTAAAGTCGAAAAGGGTAGGTATTCACCTACTTTGCGAAATTTTATCACGTTATTTATTGATTACTCGTATGTATGAATAGGCGGCCAAGATTAGTGAGAAATGGCAAGACTTGCTAAAATTGACATATTGATCTAACCTTTTTTTTTCTCTCTTCTTCCCTTGATTTTCTCTCATACGTAATAGCCGTCTACTGTTTTTACTATTTAATATTTATGTTACACTGCTGTTTTAAGAGATAGACACGATATCTTTTAATATTATTGTACTTAATTCAACTTCTATATTCAAACTAAGTCGCCTTTTTTCAATTAACAAGTGTAGTTATATATGCTTGATGATAAGAGTGAAAAAATACACCCTCCATAGTCTATAACATTTGATAAAATTAACAGGAAAAACAATTGTCACAAGGGCCGCTAAACTTCAAAGGTATGTAGCTAAGCTATATCATCACAAATTATTCAATAAAGATTTAAGAGCGATAATCTATGTTTAACTCGCGTGCCAATCATGGTTAAAACAATAACAATGTTTCGGGTGAAAACAATGGGACCTTGCCGAAGGTCCGCTGAAATGGAGAAGGCTGGATTCGGTCCAAGTTATGTTGGGCCGAAGATTTCCTGCACAGTAAACACACGTAAACTAGCCTCGGGGGTGTTGCCGAGGAAGGCCCCTCCGATGCTAAAGTCAGTACAATGTGTAAGAAGAAGACACTATGCAAGAGAGTTTGTTGCTTGAGGCTTTTATGGAATATATCAGAATATATGAATGAACATATGAACCTATGAATGAATCAGAATCCCCCCTTTTTGAATGTATCAATATGATGGCTTTTATACCTCATCATACATGGAGAGGTTGGGCCTTAGCCCAATTGGCTTGCTTTGTGGGCTGACCTTTGACTTTAGCACAATTGGAGAGTTGAACCTTGACCTTGGGCTTTTAATTGGATCATTTAGTGCTTAGGCCCAATTGGACTAAATTGGACCCAAACAACTTGCCCCCCAGACCCGATTTGGAAGGATGACGGGTCGGGTTTGATTTAATTCAGAATAGGAGGGAAGTAAATGATTTAATTAATCCAAAAATTTGAATTTAAACCGTAATTAATGAGATAACAACGATTAATGATTGTGGAAGTTGGACGGATAATGGGCAGTTTAATCACAAGATCATGTGTTTAACGGTTACTTAGTGGAGTACTTAAGAGAAATTAAAACGCAGACTCCTCGTATCCCGTACCTGGAGATATAAACAGAGGCGCGTCATCTCTCCTCACTTATTCACCAACACGCGAGAGAGAAACCAAGAACCCGCATCAAAACTTCGCAAATTCCCCGAGCATTAAGCTTAGAAACTGAGACTTGCCACTACGAACTCGTAAATCGGCAACTTTCGCTTCA